AATCTGATACATATGATGATTTTTTTCAAGCGTTTCATAGAACTATTAATTATTACGATAAATCCCATGCCCACGATCGTCAAATAGTCGGTGCATTATGCTAACTAACTGTACCTTATATTAGACAAAACACGGGAAGATCCGGGTTAAAATTGATCTTCAGTAACCCATGTTTGTCGTGAAAGGCGACTAACGGGATCGGGCGGCCAGACTCGCTGACTTGGTTGACACATGTCATTGTATCCCAATTGCACCGATCGATGCTCAGGCTGTTGATCACTGGATTGTATGGTCCAGACCCGATTATTTACAGACCGCCGCCATATAGCTGGAATATTGCTGAATGCAGCGTTAAACTAAACTCACTCACTCACCCATTATATTAGACGAAGTATCTATAACATAGGTGGATTCAAATGGCATGCAACGATAACAAAATTACACTGATATTCCTAGTGGTATGGTAAGTGAGAAATCCAAGATGGCGCCAAATGTCGTAATTGCGGTCAAGTTCTATTAATTTCTAATTACAGTAGCGACAAAAATGAACGTAACTAGGTTGTTCTGTTGTGCAACCTTCATCTCTGTATATCTGGTGCCAACAACCACGGACACAACCTCGAGAACGACGTCACTGACGTTCGACAGACAACGCCATGTACTGTCGATGTGTTCCATACTGTGTCGTCACAGCTACAGCTGCACTGGGGTCAAGCCAGTGATGTCCGAGTTGAAGTGTTATATCCACGGATATTCCCAAAGGACCTATTACTTCAACTGTTCAAGGGTAAGTAAACTGCATCTTGACCGTACGATTTTACTTTGAAGGTTTAAATGATACCAAGTTAAGTAATCGCCTTTTTCTGTATTTTTTATTCATAGTCATTTCATACACTCTTCAAAAAGAAACGCATAGGTGATTTTGAGAATATTGGATTCATGTAGCTGCGGCAAACACAATACAAATATACTATAAACGTCATCTTTGTGTAATTGCTGCCAATGGTGATCATACAACGTATTAACTTTGACGCCATCTTGTAGACTCAAGTAAACAGAAACACAACATTAAAGGCAATTTTACTGTGAAGGTTTAAATGACACCGTGTTAAGTAATGTACATCTTTTCAATTATTCGAACTTTTTCTCCATTCCATAAATTTTATCACCATTCTATATTTCACGTCCAGTGGAATCCGTTTCAGTAGATAATCAAGAATAATTCTTCTTCTGAAATCGACGTTTGACCCTTTTATTTAGACTTTGAGTTTTCAAATAATTCCGCGTTAAGTAATGTATATGTTATTTATATTATTTTCAAAATTATCGCCTTTTTCAATATTTTTTTGCCACCATCTTATATTTTACGCCCAGCGAAACCTGTTTAAGTAGATAATCGAGTCTAATTCTTCTTTTGAAATCGGCGATTGATATTTGATACAAACTTTTTATTTACGCTTTGAATGTTCAAATGACATCGTGTTAAGTAATGTATATTTTTTCAATTATTCGTACGTTTCCTCCGTTGCTATAAATCACCATTTTATCCTTTATGTTTTATTCTTCCGAAACTGAATTTAGGTGCGACCCTTTTATTTACACTTTGGATGCTTAAATGATACCGGGTTAAGTAATCGCCTGTTTCTATAATTTTTATTCATAGTCTTTTCATACACTCTTAAAAATAAATAAATAAATAAACGCATAAGTGATTTTGAGAATATTGGACCCATACAGCTGCGACAAAAACAATACAAATATACGATTTCTTTCCAAAACGTCATCTTTGTGTAATTGCTGCCAATGGTGGTCATACAACGTACTAACTTTGACGCCATCTTGTAGACTCAAGTAAACAGATGCAAAACAATAAAAGCTGCAGCGGACTCTTTGTCTATAGACGTGTGAATTATCACCTTTTCACCATTGTAATTACATGAAATAATTGCTCTTAAACTAACGCCATAAATACTTCTAAGAATGGCTTATGCGTTTCTTTTTTTGAAGAGTGTATGTCGATAACAATGTACCAACCAACCTATTGGGTAGGAACTGAGGTTTGGGATCGGTTCCAAGCAGCTTCTGTATCTCTTAAGAGGCGACTAAATGTTTGTTTGTTGTTTAACGATGCACTCAGCAATATAATAGCTATATATGTTACAATCAGATTGTGAAATCAGTCATTCCGTGAAATGACTAAGAGCCTAAAGAGGGTCCGCCATTTCGCTGGATTATGGTATATCAGTATCACTTAACTAAGTTTTGCCTATTGAGACCTCGGACAACTGAAAGGGCTGCTGAAGTAGCGTTCCATTTAGTTGACATTTTCTTGATGATAGGTGCCTCAGTGATCCTCCAATCTGATAATGGATCAGAGTTCACGTCTCATGTTATTAAAGAAATTCAACACGTCTGGCCAGAACTAGCACAAATACTTGGTAAGCCACGCCATCCCCAAAGGCAAGGATCAGATGAAAGGGCAAATGGCGACATAAGAGACATGCTGGTAGTGTGGATGAGTGATAAGAAGAGTAAAGACTGGCGACATCTTATTCATTTCACGAAATGACTGATTTCACAATCTGACTGGAACACACACACACACACACACACACACACACACACACACACACACACACACACACACACACACACACACACACACACACACACACACACACACACACACACACACACACACACACACACACACACACACACACACACACACACACAGTGGAATCTGTCAAATACGGACTGGACAGGGACCGACTCATTTGTCCGGATTTTAAAGCAGTCCGTATCGGACAACTTTCCTGCAGATACTGCCACAATGAGTTACCTCCCTTTGTTAAGGACAACCAGCAACTTGAATAGTTCCCTTTTGTGTTTTATTTATACAATATACGTGTATTTATAGTCAATATATTTATACTTTCACTGGGAAAAGTCTGTTAACATGGTTTGCTTCTGCCTCTGTAAAGTATATATATATATATATATATATGGCAGAGGTCTGTAAATAATTCAGTCTGGACCAGATCATCCTGTGATCAACATCATGAGCATCAATCTACGCAATTGGGAAACGATGGCTTTATACAAACCTACGTAAAACGTGAGCTGATCAAAACAACGTTGTGAAATTGTTACACAATTTTCTATTTCAAAATAGAGCACAATTTTTCAATATAATGCCTAACAACCTTACACCACATGTATTCCCGCCAACACAATACATACAGTGTCGTATATGCAGCATATTTAACTGACATAACGGTAACGTAAACACAGAGCTAAGACTGACAAAAAAGCGACATCTGTTGCTTTAATGACGTCATAGGATTAGGTCACATGACTACGCATCTGGCAACCAAGTCCGCCAGCCTGACCACCCGATACCGTCAAGCGTGGGTTGCTGAAGACCAATTCTAACGCGGATCTTCACAGGTCGCGACTAAATGGATAGGGGGATAAACAATGGACGTCATAGGTTTGACTGGACTGGTCATTATAACAGACAAGGTGGTGTTGGGAAAAAAATAGTGCTTCCTAATTTTTCTGCATTTTCAGGACAAGGAAACCCTTTCAGGATATATTGAAGATTTGTCTAAAAAGAAAGGTTTAAGGCAGCAAAAGGGAACGGAAGAGAAGCAATGTAAAGGTACCGACGTTTCTTCGTATAAAAATGTGATCAGCTGTTATGACTTGAAATCATATGCCATTCAATGCACAGGCCCTCGTGCCTTTGCGGGGATTAAACATTTGAATAAATGCTAAGAATTTTGAGTTGACTCGAAATGCTTCGCAGTACAACAAATCGTGATTTATTGTACTGTGAAGCATTTCAAGAAGGCAGTCATCTGAATTTTTTGTTAAATCTTTAATTCTTTCTTTTTCAATTATTTCTTTTTTTTGTTATGGATTTGATCGATGTTATTTCAGCTAAACTTCAAAACCAGATATCTCGTTAATATCGTTAATGGGCTTAGAAGGTTTTTTTGGAAGGCAAAAGCGAAAAAAAACCACCTATGTAGAAGACTATTCCTTTTCCTTTGTCCAAATCTGGTATGAAGCATAATTTTTCTGGAAATGACTTTGATGTATACTTTTGATATATTTATACATGATATCCATAATGATACGACGTTTAAATGGGTTACCATAGTATGTTGTAAATATGTGGAGACAAGGTTGTATTTGAATGATTATGTAGGGTAAGTTTGCGATAGCGCGTTTACATGATGATATGGTGAAATAATTTTAACATGATATCATATGGTATTAATTACAGGTTCGGATTAGACGTAACGTGGGATATCATAATGAATGACTTTGGGTTCAATCCGCCTTCAGCAATATTCCCGCAATATGACGATACTGACGTCGGAAAATAGGCTTCACACATTGTACCCATGTGGGGAATTAAACCCAAACCTACGGAGTGACGAGCAAACACTTTAACCATCAGGCTTACCCATGCTTGTAAGAGGCGACTAACGGGATGGGTGGTCAGGCTCGCTGACCTGATTGACACATATCATCGTATCCAATTGCATAGATCGATGCTCATGCTGTTGATCACTGGAATGTCTGGTCAGACACGAGAATTGACAGGCCACCGCCATATAGCTGGAATATTGCTGTGTGCGGCGTAAAACCAAACTCACTCACTCCATAGAGCTGCCCGGAGATTCATAGCCATACTACGTCTCATTCCACCGGGTACCCATTCACTTCTCGGTGAGCAAAGGTATCTTTCAAAGATGAATGATGATAAGGCAGCCCCTGTGTCATGTGATTATGTGTTGTTTGGGGGATATATTGACGATTTGTCCGAAAAGAAAGGTTTTTAGGCAGCAAAACGGAACGGAATTGAAGCAAGTTAAAGCAATTTCAAAGCTGTCAGAGAGGGTTAAAGCCATAGTACGTCTACAGGGTGCCCATTCACTGATGAAAATGCAGCCCTTGTACCATGTGATTATGTGTTGTTTGCTTAGGGAGGAGGATGCTGTACACGGTAGGTGTGGTGACGGGACGTTTGAATGGAGCGGGAACTACCTGTGACATCTATCTTATTCTGAATGGGACCGAGGGTACGATCACCAAGAAACTGCAGAAGAAAGGTTTTGTTTTCGCGAAGGGATCTGTAGGTCATTTTGAGGTACATTATGTGATCGATATCCCCTGAAATATTCCAGGTTACAGTGAATGAGTGAGTGAGTTGGGTTGGGTTTTACGGCGCTTTTCGCAATATTCCAGCAATATTACGACGGGAGACACCAGAAATGGGCTTCACACATTGTACCCATGTGGGAAATCGAACCCCGGACTTTGGCGCAACGAGCGAACGCTTTAACGACTGGGCCACCCCAAAGTCCCGTTCCAGGTTACAAGCCATGCTTATTGTAAGAGTCAATGAACAGGGTTGACCGGCTCGCTGACTTGGTTGCTGTATATCAACTACATCATGACAACAATCACTAGATTATTTTTTTAGGTGAGGTGAGGTGAGGTGAAATTGGGTTTTACGTCGTGCTTGAGAATATTTCGCTCATATGACGACGTGCATGCGTGTGTATGTGTATGTGCGGCTGCTTGTACTAGCCCAGACTGAAGCTGGTTTTATAGTGCTAGCCCTCTGAGATACCATGCCGCAGTGATGGGGGTGGCAATTTATTAATTATGCTTGCTTTTATTATAGTGTGTCGAACCTCAGAAATTTCTTAAGTAAACTGTGGGGCAGTGCCATATAAATATTTGAAAGTTAGATTTGAATAAAAAACAACTTTAAAAGGTTAATAGTTTTCAACGCAATGCAAACATAAATTCCTAAATTATATAACTTCTGTATCAAACACGTCGCCATCGGGTATCCAGTTTTGGGGTGGAATTTCCAGCCACTAGGGCTGGCTAAAATAATCGGACATATCGTCGATAAAAATAGTAATGATTATCGACATGAATATAGTGTCATCGATAACATTATTCATTCACTTTTTTGATAGAATGAAGTTTTAATTTTTAATACACAAAGTTAGGTTTTTATTCATGGGTTGCTTCTAAATTTTGTTCAGGCCGGTGTTCTGTAAGTAACCCGGCCCATGCCTTAACATGTCACCACTCACCAGTCATGTGACATTTATTCATTTCTTTCCGACTTTTTTCGGCATTTGTGCTCAAAGATACTTCTCCGATATTTGTCGATAATCGAACGATATTAAGTGAACAATTATCTATCAGCATGATCTATATCGATAACCAGCTCTACCAGTCACCATGTGCATGAAACATTGGTTTTTTGTGTGTGTGTATATTTTCGTTTAAACCCTTTAATTTGTGTCTCAAATATTATCAATATTTCTATCAGCGAATTTGTGCCAGTCTATTTTCCTATCTCATCCTCCCTCTCTCTCTCGCAATTTTAATTTGTTTCTTGGTGTACTTGAATCAATACATTTCATTTCATTCATTTTACATTTAAATGATTATTGAGTCCTTAGTTCCTATCCTATCCTATCCTATCCTATCCTATGCTATGCTATGCTATGCTATGCTATGCTATCCTATCGCTATCCTATGCTATCCTATGCTATGCTATGCTATCCTATCCTATCCTATCCTATCCCTCCCTCTCTCTCTCTCACACACACACACACACACAATTTTAATTAAAATTTTTGTTTCTTGCTGTACTTGATTCAAAACATGTCATTTAATTCATTTTACATTTAAATGAATAATAAGTCGAAACTTATATATTAGATGATACCTCCCCTGAATACATTACACTTGTACAATACAGTTAAATTTAAGCATCATTTGCATAGATGAAAATATTTTGTTGCTGATAAAATTCTCATCTGCCTGGAGGTAAAGTATTGTAAGGATTATGACATATTGTAAGGATTATACACTTTGGCCCAAATACGCTTTCAACCGATAAAATATTGAAATACACAATGCCATTTTAGAAAGTGGTCAAATGTAACATATGTTATATTTGGGATTACACTTTCTTAGTAAGCCGCGGTGGCTGAGCGGTCTAGGCATCTGATTTTGTGTGCTGGCGATTTGGTGCCTGACTGTGAGGGTATGGGTTCGAAAATTGAAAATTTTGAAAAATTGAAAATTGATAAAATATTAGAATGAAATATTGTTGTAGGCGTCGTGTTGCCTGGAAGTTTATATTCTGTACATTGTAACATGTCTGTCCATTCTCCAACAAAGTGTTTCCTTTCTTTTCAGTTCCTTGCCAAGTGTGTTGGTAAACTAAGAAACATTAAGGTGAAAATCGTTAAGAAAGGAATCATCCCGAGTTGGGGATGGTATCTAGACGCCGTAAGTCCTTAGCCAAAGCTGTTGTGTGGTCAACTTGGAGGTTGTGGTGATGTGCAAAGGATCATAATCACAGGGTCCTGGCACACCTAAGCGGCGAAATTAAGTCTGGCTTTTTTATTATCCTTAAGTAGTTTCAACCATAGTATAATTCTCATAATTGTTAGGGATCATGAAACATATTAAGGGATAGTTGATGAAATTGGGTGCCGAGTCCTCATTTAAAAAGACAGTCTAAAAAGTATCCATGATCCCTAAGATTTTTTGTTCAGTATATTTGTATGTAATGGCGAATATAGATGACTGTACTTCCCTTCCCACTTTGGCGTATTTGACAGTGGTGAGTAAGTGAGTGAGTATGGTTTTACGCCCCTTTTAGCAATATTCCAGCAATATCACGGAGGGGGACACTAGAAATGGGCTTCACACATTGTCCCCATGTGGGGAATCGAACCCGGGAACGCTTTAACCACAAGGCTACCCCACCGCCTTCGACAGTGGTGAAGACAAGTAGTTACCATCTGTGGTCGATACGTAGAAGACTTTTATAGTCAGTTAATTTCCTTGCCAACGGAAGATGACCTCGAGTACAATTCATGTACGTATTGCACTTTATGCAACGGATTGTGTTCCTCACCGGTTATTTTTGTTTCAGATGACAGTATCTGTTACTGGTGGAAATTACACCGACAAGTACTTCACCAATCCTAAAAGTTGGCTCGGAATGTTTACAACGACACAGTCCATGGAAATATCCGACCTTGAATTTACACATATCTAGGATAGTATCCGATTTGAAACAGTGTACTTTCGAGTTCATGTTGGGTCTGAATAGGTTCCGGTACCTTGTGAATTTATTAAACTGATCATTGAATGTTTGACATCTATTGCTTCTGCTTACTGGGACCACAATTAATAATTGATAAGCCTGCTAATGGAATTATCAATAGCACGTTGCCTCTTAGGGTTTCAGCAGGACGTGGCTGTAGTCAAGGTGATCCACTGTTCCCTTGCATTTTCATCTTGTGTGTTGAAAGTCTGGACTTTTGAATACCAAAGGAATTTCCAATATGCAGATGGTCAGGAGTTTGTATTAGACGGTATGCGAGAACCGTTTGAATTTTGAAACTGTAAACGAATTAGTGTTTTCTTATAAAACTAATAGTATGTATATTTTGTAATACCACCGTGAAGACTGTATAATCTCCATGTAAACCACCCGGCCTTCCTATGTACTCTTTGCTGTATATTTGTACTTCTTATGCCGAGTATCCCGGCCTGAGCGTAATAAAAGTTGTGTTGTGTTCTGTTCTGAACATGTTTGCTGATATGTCAGACTTACAATCAAGTTTAACGAATCTCATAGGATTCAGGAAGAATAGTCTTGCGAGGTATTTCCCCAGTCTAAATATTCAGTGGAATCGAGGATAATTTTAAACAATAGGAGTTATTTTTCAACAGATGTAAGTGTCAAGGCTCAAACGTATTTTGAAAATAACCTTTTTGAAATTCAATTTATAATAAAAGAGGGCTTAAAAGAATACCCTTGGTAGAATTTCTATCATCAAGACTTTACTCATTTCAAAATTGATGAAAGTGTAACTCACAGATAAGCCGACAACCCTCAACAAAAGTTTCTAATCCGGACTGCTTTACAATCCGGACAAATGAGTCTGTCCCAGGCCAGTCTGTAAAGACAGATTCCACTGTATCTATTTCTGACACCTAAAAACCCTCCTGGTTATTTCCCGAAGGAGCTGAATAAAATGTTATTTAAATTCCTTTGGAGTAGGAAACCAGATAGGATTAAACGAACTCTTATGTGTAAACCTGTGAAGGAGGGTGGTCGTGGTGTGGTGTAGGTGTAGCTATTTTCACGTGTCACAAAAATTCATTGAAGCTATCGTCTCTGGTTAAGCAATATTTTCCAAAACTGGTCGACATCACAAATGTAAAAACTAATGCAATATGTAAAAACTTAACGCCAAACGTAAAAATTAACGCAATATGTGGTAAATTTATTATTTTTGGAATTAATGTACTAGTTCCTTTTCTTGGTAGACAGACAAATAGTGGGGTTTTTTTTAATCTCACCTCCAAATACACATATCAAATGTAGCAAATCCTGATAAAAAGTTTGAGCCATCCCATAGGGATTAATTTGTTTCAGAAACACTTTGAACGAATTGTACAGAAAATATCATATTTATCATGATGACTATAAGATCGATTAAAATATCTCTATATACAAGTAAATTATATGTTTATCGATTATACTTTCATGTATACTGAACAACGAGATACAATTTTGTAAAAAAAAGTAATATGAAGTTTATTTTGTCTGAAACATTGCGATATCTTATATTTGTGCATTTAAAGTCACTTTTTGCCAAATTTGTGAAAAAAATGAATTTTGATTGCCACCCCTAATATTCAAAGCTACAACTGGATTTTGCATACTGCGTTATTTCTTACGTTTTGCTTTAGGTTTTTACATATTGCGTTAGGTTTTACATATTGTCTTGATTTTATATATTGGGGTTGTACCAGTCCCTGCCATAGATAAGTTCTCAAAGAAAATATAGCCTGCATCATTTGATGACTTAATAACGAAACCTGTCTTGTATGGTGAGCTGGCGATTAGGTGCCTGGCTCTGAGAGTGTGGGTTCGAATCCCGAATGGACTAAACCCAACAGAAGTACTAAAATATTTACTTTCATGAGAAAGTGTAATCCCAAATATAACATTTGTTAGATCAGGGGCGGAATTCTAAAAACGTCTTAGATTTTTCTTAAGTTTTGTCTTAAGTTCTTAAAAATTGACTTAGCTAAGTCAGAAACTTAAGTTTGATTCATAAAGTGACTTCGTCAAAAACTGGGGCGGTGGGGTAGCCTAGTGGCTAAAGCGTTGGCTCGTCACGCCGAAGATCCGGGTTCGAATCCCCACATGGGTACAATGTGTGAAGCCCATTTCTGGTGTCCCCCGCCGTGATGTTGCTGGAATATTGCTAAAAGCGGCGTAAAACCAAACTCAGTCAGTCAGTCAATCGTCAAAAACTTATCTTAGTCCTCAAAACCGTTACTTCTTGGACGGTAAATTGTTCTATTGGCATGTCTGGCAGCCATGTTTTGTCAACTGACTTAAGTTACGTACATAGAGTTAAGTTAGCCAACAGCAGCCTCAGGATTTAAGTCGAAAATTACACAAACTTAAGTCTAATACTTTTTGTGAATATGACTAAGAAAAAGTCTTAAGTCAAAACTTAAGTTTTAATTTGGAACTTAAGTAATTTTTCAGACTTAAGTCCTTTTAAGTATAACGCCCCGGGTATATCATTGAATAAATATTGCTCCAGCAAAGATTAGCTAAAGTACTAGAATCGATTCCTTTTAAGTTTATGGTATGTCTTCGTGAATTCTTTTCTTCTTAAATTTCACTTGGAAGAGATTGGAATGACAGCCTTTCCCTGTGGTTTGATGCATGATACCATCCATGACATTATATATGCATAACATCAACGTCTATATGAAACCAACAATGGACGGGCAGTCACGTCCAGATGGTAAAGTCTGGTCATAAAATGCTGGATGGCTGTCCTCCTGAAGCTGTCAGTCATAATGATAATAAGTGAGTGAGTGAGTTTAATTTTACGCCGCACTCAGCAATATTCAAGCTATATAGCGGCGGTCTGTAAATAATCCAGTCTGAACCAGACAATCCAGCATGAGCATCGATCTGCGCAACTGGGAACCGATGACATGTGTCAACCACGTCAGCGAGCCTGACCACCCGATCACGTTTTTCGCCTCTTACGACAAGCATGGGTTACTGAAGATCAATATTCTAACCCGGACCTTCACGAGTCTATAATAATGTAATAATGCATCCATTTATGTAGCGCCAAACTCCACACCAGGTATGCTCATAGCGCTAACAATGAATAGCACAGCACATTATTACCCCGGATAACCCAAGCTGCCTGTTAGGTGCTGGGAGGTTATAGTCACATGACATATCCCACCGGGTATCCATTTTCTGCTGGGTTGAACAGAGGCAATTTTGAACAAACTCACTTGCGTAAGGTGAGACCACATGTATCACATGTGCTTCATTGTGGGGCAGGACTCAAGTCCTAGAAACTCAGGAGTCAAGCTGTCACAAACGGTCACCCATCAGCGGTGGCTGAGCGGGTTAGGCGGCTGACTTTGTGTGCATGCGATTAGGTGCCGGACTCTGAGTGTGTGGGTTCGAATCCCGGATGGGATTCAGACCAACAAAAGTACAAGAATCTTTGCTAAGAAAGTGTGATATAACATACACTACACGCCAAAAGAAACGTTACCCCCCTTCCTTAATGACGGGGGTATCTATCTTCAGCTGGCGTTGAGATGCGTGGACGTCCACTTCTTGGTCTGTCTATAGTGACCCCAGTCTGTTTGAAGCCCTGAATAAGTCTTATAACCGTGATACCGTGGCATCCGAGGGCGTTGGCAACAACATTGTATGTCGACCCCATCTGAACCATCCCGATAGCTCTTCCTCTCTCTTCAGCTGATAAGTGTGGCATGTTTCTCGTACTTGTGTATCATGTCATCTTTTCTAGGCTCTCTTTATACCCTATAGAATCATTGTACATGTGAATTGATGTAAATACTGCTTGAATATTGCTGCGTTTTGGCGACTGATATCGTTATGTGTAAACAGAAACTGGAAACATGTTACTTTGCAAGCAAAAATGTTCATTGTAGAAGTTCCTTAACATTTTTTCACAAATTCAACGACACGTTTTACTTGTTTTCACTAATGGAAATCAGCAGAAATTGTTTTGAAAGACTAAACTAATAGGAATGATTATTTTACAATTTTGCAAACTCTACAACAGCTGTTTCTTGTTTTAATAGTTGACAAATGGTGACTTTAAATGGTTTATCTTTGTCCCAAAGCAGAATTTTATTTCAACCTTTCTTTTTGACATCTAAATCACTGTTATTGGTGTATTTCGGCATGGACGGAAATAGGACAATTAATTCTTCTGAAAAAAATGCATTTCACCTGAATATGAATGCATTTGAAAAATTATTTTCGTGGTTTGCATAAAGCTGTGTTGTTAAGCTTTCTTGTAAACTATTTCCTTCGAACATATCTTTGATAGTCTTTAAATAATTCATAAAGGTAGGAGGGTAACGTATCGTTTGGCGTGTAGTGTATATTACATTGGACCACTTTCTAAATGGCAGTGTGTAATCATTTATCGGTCTTAAATCAAGGCAAAGTACTGCAAACTTGAAAACAGTAGCTTTATCTTTTAATTTATATACTCATGCCAATTATAATGGTTGTCACCCCCTTCAATTTTTTTAATTGGAGAGACACGGACAGAGTTTAGTGTGTCAAGTGAGAGGGAGGGAGACATAGACAGGGGGTAGTGTGTCAAGTGAGAGGGAGGGAGACACGGACAGGAGGTAGTGTGTCAAGTGAGAGGGAGGTAGACACGGACAGGGAGGTAGTGTGTCAAGTGAGAGGGAGGTAGACACGGACAGGAGGTAGTGTGTCAAGTGAGAGGGAGGGAGACACGGACAGAGGGTAGTGTGTCAAGTGAGAGTGAGGGAGACACAGACACGGGATAGTGTGTCAAGTGAGAGGGAGGGAGACACGGACAGGAGATAGTGTGTCAAGTGAGAGGGAGGGAGACACGGAGAGGAGGTAGTGTGTCAAGTGAGAGGGAGGTAGACACGGAGAGGAGGTAGTGTGTCAAGTGAGAGGGAGGGAGACACGGACAGGGGGTAGTGTGTCAAGTGAGAGGGAGGTAGACACAGACACGGGATAGTGTGTCAAGTGAGAGGGAGGGAGACACGGACATTGGACAGTGTGTCAAGTGAGAGGGTGTGAGACAAGGACATGGGATAGTATGTCAAGTGAGAATGACGGAGACATGGACAGTGGGGCCGTGTGTCAGGTGAGAGGGAGGTAGACACGGACAGGAGGTAGTGTGTCAAGTGAGAGGGAGGGAGACATAGACAGGGGGTAGTGTGTCAAGTGAGAGGGAGGGAGACACGGACAGGAGGTAGTGTGTCAAGTGAGAGGGAGGTAGACACGGACAGGGAGGTAGTGTGTCAAGTGAGAGGGAGGTAGACACGGACAGGAGGTAGTGTGTCAAGTGAGAGGGAGGGAGACACGGACAGAGAGGTAGTGTGTCAAGTGAGAGTGAGGGAGACACAGACACGGGATAGTGTGTCAAGTGAGAGGGAGGGAGACACGGACAGGAGATAGTGTGTCAAGTGAGAGGGAGGGAGACACGGACAGGGGGTAGTGTGTCAAGTGAGAGGGAGGTAGACACGGAGAGGAGGTAGTGTGTCAAGTGAGAGGGAGGGAGACACGGACAGGGGGTAGTGTGTCAAGTGAGAGGGAGGTAGACACAGACACGGGATAGTGTGTCAAGTGAGAGGAGGTAGACACGGACAGGGGTAGTGTGTCAGGTGAGAGGGAGGGAGACACGGACAGGAGGTAGTGTGGTAGGGTGAGAGGGAGGGAGACACGGAGAGGGAGGAGTGTGGCCAAGGAGAGGGAGGTAGACACGGATAGGAGTAGTGTGGTCGGCAGGAGAGGGAGGGAGACGGACAGGGAGATAGTGTGACATGGTGAGAGAGGTGGTAGACACACGAGGATAGTGTGTGGTGAGAGGGAGTGAGACACGGACATTGGACAGTGTGGCCGGGTGAGAGGGAGGGAGGACACAGGGACAGGAACAAGGAGAATAGGTGGAGACATGGACAGTGTAGTGGAACAAGGAGGAGGAAGGGAGACATGGACAGTGGGGCTGTGTGTCAAGGAAGAGGGAGGTGGACACGACAGAAGGTCAAGGCCAAGTGGAGAGGAGGACAGACATAGACAGGAGGGTAGTGGAGGAATGGAGAGGGGAGGACAACGGACAGGAGTGGTGGAGGGAGGTGGGACAGTGAGGGAGACAGGGGACGGAGATGGACAGGTGCCCATGGAGGAGACACGGACGTGGACCGGACACACAGGACGGAGGCACCGAAGGATATGGACAACGGAGGGTGGCCGGACACGAGAGGGAGGAACAATCGGCGGACGGAGACACGGACAGGGAGGAAGGACAGGACATGGACATGGCCGAGACAACGGACAGGAGGAGACACGGACCGGACACGGAGTGGAAAACAGAGGAGGGACATGACGAACAAGGAGGACACCGAGGACAAGGACGGACGGAGAGGAAAGAGTGGAGACAACGGAACAGGAGGAGACAACGGACAGGAGGACACGGAGGCACCACGCCCGCGGGTGGAGGCAGACAACGGAGGAGGAGGAGGCAGACACGGAGGACACGGAGTGGAGGACAACGAGGAGGGTGGAGGACAAGGATGGAGATAGACGGAGAATGGACAAGGAGGTGGACACGGAGAATGACGGAGACATGGACAGCAGGTGGAAATGGAGGAAGTGGAGGACATGGACAGAGGGAAGGAGTGGTAGACACGGACAGAAACAAGGAGTGGAGGAGACACGGACAGGAGGAGGAGGACACGGACAGGGAAGGAAGGAGACAGTGGATGGACAGTGGAGGTCAAGTGGATAGTGGACACGGACAGGGAGGAGGACGGAGGTGGAGACAACGGACAAGGCAAGTGGAGGACACAGAATGGACAAGACACGGGAGGATGGACGGCGGAGGAATGGTGGACATGGACATGGAATGGAGGGAGACAGTGGACAGGAGGAACATGAGTGGAGACATGGAGGGGGTGGCCGGGTGGAGGTAGACACAGGATGGATAGTGGAGGAATGGACACGGTGGAGGAGGACATGGACAGGAACAGTGGAGACAGGAGGAAAGGACACCGAGAGGGAGTGGTGGAGGAGGACACGGACAGTGGAATGGAGGACACGTGGAGGAGGAAAAAGGAGGAGGACACGGACAGGGTGGAAGGAGGAGGACACGGAGGAGGAACTGAGGGAGAGGGACAATGGACAGGAACAGGAGGGAGGAGGACAACGGACAGGAGTGGAGACATGGACAGGGTATAACAAATGGAGGGAGGGAGGACAATGGACAGGGAGGAAGTGAGTGGAGGACACGGACACAACAAGGAAACAAGAGGGAGGTAGTGGAGAGGAATGGAATGGAGGACACAGAGGAGGAAGGAGAGGGAGGCAGGGAACGGACAGGGTCAAGGAGGACATGGAGAGGGAGGAATGGAGGAACATGGGAGGAATGGAGGAATGGACATGGAGGAATGGAGGACGTGGAAGGACATGGAGAATGGATGGAAGGAACATGGAGTGGAGGACAATGGACAGGAGTGAAAAGGAGTGATGGACAGGAGGGATGGAGAATGGACAGGAGGAATGGTGGAGGAGGTGGAGGAGGTGAAGGAGTGGAGGTGGACGGGAGGAACAGGAAACGGAGGGAGGAATGGAGGAATGGAGGTGGACACGGAGGAGGAATGGAAGGGTCGAATGGACAGAGTGGATAGAACGGAGAATGGAGTGGACAAATGGACAGAGGAGGAAGGAAGGAGGGAGACAATGGACAGGGAGGGTGGAGGACAGGAGGAGTGGACGAGTGGACAATGGAGGAGGAGTGGATGGAATGGAGGAGGAAGTGGAGGAATGGACGGGAATGGACAGGAGGATGGAGGTGGAATGGACACTGAGAATGGAGGAATGGAGGAATGGAGTGGAGGAACAATGGAGGAAGGATGGAATGGTGGAGGGACACGGACAGGAAGGGATGGAGGACAATGGACAGGAATGGAAGAAGTGGATGGAGGGAGGACAATGGAAGGAGGAGGTGGAAGGAGGACACGGAGAGTGGAGGAGGAATGGAGGTGGAAGGGTGGAGGGACACGGACAGGAGGAAGGAGGTGGAGGAATGGAGGAATGGAAGGAGGAATGGAAGGAGGGAGGAATGGAGGAGGGAATGGAGGGAGATGGAGGGGAATGGACAGGAATGGAAGGAAGGTGGAATGGACGGGGAATGGTGGAGTGGAGGAATGGAGGAAGGAATGGATGGAGGATGGACAGGAGGGGACAGGAACAGAATGGAGGTGGAGGAATGTGGAGGGATGGAAGGGACAGGAATGGAGAGGAGGAAGGAGGAGAGGAATGGAGGAATGGACAATGGAGGGAGGATGGAGGAATGGAGGAATGGAGGATGTGGAAAGGAATGGAGGGGAGTAGAATGGATGGAATGGAGGAATGGAGGAATGGAGGACGGAGGATGGAATGGAAGGGTGGAGGAATGGAGGATGGAATGGAGGAAGGAATGGAGAGGGAGGACAATGGAGGAGGAACGGGAGGACAATGGAATGGTGGACAATGGAAAGGGAGGAGGGAGGGAGGAATGGACAGGAATGGTGGAGGAATGGAAGGAGGGACAGGATGGAGGGGTCAGGAATGGAGGGAATGGATAAATGGACAAGGGACGGATGGAGGGGATGGAATGGAGGTGGAACAGTGGAGGGGAGGACAGGAATGGAGGGACAATGGAATGGATGGAGGGAGGGAGACACGTGGACAGGATGGAATGGAGTGGACGGGGAGACACGGACAGAAGGTGTGTCAAGTGACAGGGAGGGAGACACGGACAGGAGGTAGTGGTAATCAGAGTGAGGAGGGAGGGAGACACGGACAGGGGGGTGGTAGTGTGTCAGAGGAGAGGGAGGGAGACACGAGACAGGAGGTGGTGTGGTCAAGTGGAGAGGAGGGGACACGGACAGGGGGTAGTGTGTCAAGTGAGAGGGAGGGAGACACGGACAGGGTATAATGTGTCAAGTGAGAGGGAGGTAGACACGGACAGGAGGTAGTGTGTCAAGTGAGAGGGAGGGAGACACGGACAGGGGGTAGTGTGTCAAGTGAGAGGGAGGGAGACACGGACAGGAGGTAGTGTGTCAGGTAATGTGGTGATGAGAGGGAGGTGGAGACACGGAGAGGACGGGTAGTGTGTCAAGAGTGAGAGGGAGGGAGACACGGACAGTGGAGGTAGACACGGTCAAGTAATGAGAGGGAGGGAGACACGGACAGGAGGTAGTGTAGTGAGAGGGAGTGTGTCAAGTGAGAGGGAGGGAGACACGGACAGGAGGTAGTGTGTCAAGTGAGAGGGAGGGAGACACGGACAGGAGGTAGTGTGTCAAGTGAGAGGGAGGGAGACACGGACAGGAGATAGTGTGTCAAGTGAGAGGGAGGGAGACACGGACAGGAGGTAGTGTGTCAAGTGAGGAGGGAGGGAGACACGGACAGGGGGTAGTGTGTCAAGTGAGAGGGAGGGAGACACCGACAGGGACGGTAGTGTGTCAAGTGACAGGGAGGGAGACACGGACAGAGGGTAGTGTGTCAAGTGAGAGGGAGGGAGACACGGACAGGGAGTAGTGTGTCAAGTGACAGGGAGGGAGACACGGACAGGGGGTAGTGTGTCAAGTGAGAGGGAGGGAGACACGGACAGGGGGTAGTGTGTCAAGTGAGAGGGAGGGAGACACGGACCGGGGGTAGTGTGTCAAGTGAGAGGGGAGGGGACACGGTAAAGGGGCCGTGTGTCAAGTGAATCACCCGTTCAAGTTAGTCGCCTTTACGTTGGTGTGTTGGTTGGTTGTTTAAGGCCGCAATCAGCAATATTCCAGCTATATTGCGGCAGCCTGTACATAATCGAGCCATAAATCTTTAATGCAGGTATCATTACCAACCAACACAAGAACTTAGAAATACAGCATAGTATACCTGACCTAAACAACCAATAAACAATGATTTTAGCAAAGTTGCCCTTGAGACTAAACGACATTACCTCTCACGCCTTGCAAAAAGACGACCTCCGACACACGCGAGATGTGTTGCAAGGGGTTCATGTGTTGGGTGACTCCAAACAATCCAGTGATCAACTCGCCTCTTACAATAAGGGAGGTGGGGTAGTCTAGTGGTTAAAGCGTTGGCTCGTCACGCCGAAGACCCGCGTTCGAATCCCCACATGGGCACAATGTGTGAAGCCCATTTCTGGTGTTCCCCGCCGTGATGTAGCTGGAATATTGCTAAAAGCGGCGTAAAACCAAACTCAGTCAGTCTTACAATAAGCGTGGTTTTCTGATGACCAAAGTTTAACACGGATTTTCACGGATACCCACCGTGACGGAATATTTGCGACAACAAAAGCGACCTCTAAATGAACCAACTGGTATGTCATCTGTGTATATCTACAACAAACTACTGGCACAATTCAATAACTAAAAAATATCAGTGACGCATAGGAATGGTTTGAAATATCAGTGTTATGCTTTATGTTCATTATGTGATATTCAACAACAAAATCAAAAGTCAAAGTCAAAGCGTTTATTGCATGAAAGGTCATTGGTCTTAATACAAATCCTAATAACAATATATAAACATATTCATTCTATTATATTCTGTATATAAAATTTTGACACAGTTCATTATTTGTTTACGAGGGAGGGGTGCAAAGAGAGGAACAGCCAGGTGTGCGAGAAAGGATGGTGACACCACAGGTAAATGATTCAATGACTTTGTCGGCACTTGTGCACGTGCTCTCCACGTACACCTGGCTGTTTCTCTCTTTGCAGTCCTCCCTCGTAACAAATAGTGAACTTTGTCAAAATTTTAATAATAGTTTCTTAAACAACTTTTTTATTTTTTGGACATAAATTCTGCAAAAAAATCACAGAGTTGGTCTGATGTTTTGATTATGATCAGTGTTTCATTGAGTATTATATAATTAGTAATTTTCGAGTTAGATTGCAATTCATCGGTCCGATTTTGAGCCAAACAGACTATATGCGCGGAATCAATTTCATCGTCGAGTAATGCACGTGCACTAGCCTACATCTGCTCTACCTTTCACGAACCAAATGGGTTTGCTCATTGCCGTGCACAGCCTACTTCTCGTTTACTCGTTCTCTGCACCGGTCCAACTTATCCTTGGTTGCAAGTAAAACATGTAGAAAATGAATAAACATAAAACATTAACTGAAAAAATGTCAAAAGAGTACCTTAATTTTTTACACTTAAAACAACGCAATAAAAATTTACGATTGCCAGTTTGGAGAACTGTCCTATAACCGTCGTGACACAGGGGGTCCAAAGAAAAGATGTACAGGTTCTCTGAAGAGGAACCTCGAGCAGCTCCTGCGAAAATGACCACAGCCTATGGATCAACAAAGCTGCCGATTGTCAAACCTGGAGAAACACAGTCCACGAGTCTCTTCCTCGTCTTCTTCCCCGTCTCACTTGACACACCTGGCCTCGAAGAAACATGTAGTCGGATGAAGGAACAGGAAACGCCACACCCAAACCAGACAACCTTCAGCTGCAACCTCTGTGGTTGCACCCGTCTTTCTCAACAACTCCGAGACCGCCTGCAGGCGACTTGGAAACAACGTTCATAATTCTTCGGTCTCGAAACAATGTCTTTACATACGATTGGAAAAATACTTACGACTGTGGAATACACATATGTTAAAATGATTACTGCTGGTTAACGCAGGGCCAATGGCCAATAATTATTGCAAAATCAGCATAATGGAAACATAATAATAATAATAATAATAATAATAGTTCATTTATAAAGCGCATATTTCCATGCTCAAAGCGCTGATGTCAGGACGAAAAGGCTTTTTGGAAAAGGTGGGTCTTTAGCGATGTTCGAAAGGTTGAAAGTTCTGTCATTTCTCTCAAATGTTGTTGGAGATGATTCCATTCTGAGGCTGCAGCATAAGAGAAAGTTCTTTGACCAAATTAACTGTTCTGACTTTAGGAATACACAGAAGATTATGTTTCTCGGAGCGGAAGGATCTTGTTGGTTTGTATGGAGAAAGGAGGTCGGACAGATATTGAGGTGCACTTCCAGAGAGACATCTGAAGGCGAGAATGCAGAGTTTAAAAGTGATGCGCTGTGGAATGGGCAACCAGTGGAGGTCCTTCAACACAGGGGTGATGTGAGCTGACTTGGGTGAGAGAGTGACTATTCTTGCTGCTGTGCTCTGAACCCGTTGCAGTCTACCAATCTGGGATTTTGTTGCACCAGCAAAGAGGCAGAAACCTTTCTGTCGGCACGTTTCTGTCTGGTTCAGAAGAGCAGAGTCCAGTTGAAGTTGTGGCCGTGGAAACTTACTTAATATCATATCTAACAGAGGTTCTCAATAAACATATATAGTTGCCAACATGTAGCATCAATGTCAAACATGTCATCAGAGTGATCTCCCCTGGCTGCTGTGTAATGGCCGCCTCGCTGACCAGAACGTTCTGCATAAAGGGCTTTTCAGACAGAAGTCATTGTGTCATTACAAGTCCAAAGACTGATTTCATCAGAGCAAAGCTTTGATGTATGGAACAAGGATGCCTAAGCCCTGCCAAAGCGATTCCTTCAACCTGGATGTCTGTTGCCAGAATGGTTCTGTTTTTAACACTTCATTCTAACCAGTAAACTCCGGAGCCTTAAGGACAGTTGGGGATCGGGAGATATACGCATGTCTTGATTGCGTCGTTCCAACCAGTGCCTTGAAAGCAGTCGCGACGAAACGTGATTTCATTAGCGCAGGTGATATACTCCGTACAGGAATAACTAGAAGCATAGTCTCCGTTCAGGCGCCCATCACAGCTGCTGATGCCTGAAATAATGCAATAATAATAATGAGAATACTTATAACGCGCCATTCCAGACTTCATACCATGCTCTTTTATTACCCAAACTGCTTGTGAGGCGCAAGAAGGTTAATAATCTTAAGACATCCCACCGGGTACCCATTTTCTGCTGGGTGAACAGAGGCAATTTTAAACAAACTCACTTGCCTAAGGTGAGACCACTTGCGTCACGTGTGTTTGTTGTGGGGCAGGACTGAAGGCCTAGAAATAATAGACCATGATATGAAGCCTGGAATGGCGCATAATAAATAGACAATTTCTGGTGTTCCCCACTGAGATATTGCTGGAATATTACTAAAAGCGGCGTAAACCCCTACTCACTCACTCACTACAGGATTGAGTGAGTGAGTTGGTGAGTGAGTTTAGTTTTACGCCACACTCAGCAATATTCCATCTATATGGCAGCGGTCTGTAAATAATCGAGTCTGGACCAGACAATCTAGTGATCAACAGCATGAGCATCGATCTGCGCAATCGGGAACCGATGACATGTGTCAATCAAGCCAGCGAGCCTGACCACCCGATCCCGATAGTCGCCTCTTACGCTAAGCATGGGTTACTGAACGCTCATTCTAACCCGGACTTTCACGGGTCTAGTGAGACTACATTAAAACATAGAAACGCTAGCCGTGAAGATCCGGGTTAAAATTGATCTTCAGTAACCCATGCTTGTCGTAAGAGGCGACTAACGGGATCGGGTGGTCAGGCTCGCTGACTTGGTTGACACATGTCATCGGTTCCCAATTGCGTAGATCGACGATCATGTTGTTGATCACTGGATTGTGTGGTCCAGACTCGATTATTTACAGACCGTAGCCATATAGCTGGAATATCTCTGAGTGCAGCGTTAAACAAACAAACAGATTAAACGCCCTGCGTTAACCTGCAAGGAGGCGCTTCAATATAATCCTACTATTCTTTCACTCGTACGTATTGTTGTGTGACACAAACCATGAAGATTTTATCACTTATTCCAAACAAGCGCATACTGCCATTATAATACTCAGGATGATAGTGATTAAAATATATGTTACGGTAAGATGCGAGTTATTGTTTTGTTTATTGTTTAATGTGTGTTGAGGATTTAGATATTTTACGTGCGCTTTCCGACATCATGCACATTTTGCACAATGGCCATTCAGACCATTTTGTGTGGGTTCGAAACAATGGAATCGATATAAAATTTGAAGAATTTGTAATTTTGCCAAAGGTGGATTTAGTTGGAATCGTTTAGGATATACATTAAAGGTTTATGGGCACACGGAAGCTTTTATACATTCAAACTTTGATATTTATATACTCAACAACAAAAATAAGCACCGCCCCAATATTCAATATTTAAGTTAGTGAGTCAGTGAGTTTAGTTTTACGCCGCACTCATCAATATTACAGCTATATGGCGGCGGTCTGTAAATAATCAAGTCTGGACCAGACAACCCAGTGATCAACAGCATGAGCATCGATCTGCGCAATTGGGAACCGATGACATGTGTCAACCAAGTCAGCGAGTCTGACCACCCGATCCCGTTAGTCGCCTCTTACGACAAGCATAGTCGCCTTTTATGACAAGAATGGGTTGCTGAAGACCTATTCTACCCCGGACCTTCACGGGTCCAATATTTAAGTAGTATATGGATCATTATATGAACTATTAAATACTTTAATGTTGAAAATGGGGGTGGTCCGTAACTTTGTTTTGTTGAGTATATTTGGATGTTTATAGTTGATATTAATTCATTTAGTTGGAGGGGCGGTGGGGTAGCCTAATGATTAAAGCGTCCGCTCGACATGCTGAAGACCCGGGTTCGATTCCCCACATGGGTGCAATGTGTGAAGCCCATTTCTGGTGTCCCCCGCCGTGATATTGCTGGAATATTGCTAAAAGCGGCGCAAAACCATACTCACTCACTCACTCATTTATTTGGAGATATTGATGAAATTGACATAAAAGTGGTATTTAATTATGTTAACTGTAAACTAAACATTTTACGCAGTGTACGTTGAATTTCCTTTGGATTTATATAATCTCCCTAATTTTTCATCCAGTGATGATCATCTGTCAGTTCAAAAAAAATTGTAGACAAAATATTTTTTGTTACATTAATTTAGTACTGTTTGTCAAATATACGGAAACCATCTGTTGTAAAATTTCTCATAATTTGTGCATTGCATGTATTTGATTCATTTAACTGTTTGGATTTTTGCATTGAAAGAGAACATTGCAGCATGTATTTCGGGCGCGTCGTCGTGCTTATAACCATATCCAAAGCTGTGCGCATTTGAGACAACAATGTGCACGCCAGCTCCATGTCAGAACAAAAAGATGTAATAGTTAACTTAGTTTCATGTGTCAGTTCTTAAGGGTGAGCTGAAAGATCGATAAGAAGTCAATACAAAAACACATCTTGCTTTGAAATAGTCATACATATTTTACTACGCGCAAATACAAGTCAGTGATTATGCAAATTTAAATCAATATGCGGAACATGTTTCGTTTTACATTGACGTTTACTGTTAAAATAAGTACACATTTTATGTGCCATTTCAACACTACAATGGTTTTATGAACACCTGATTCGGTTTTGTTTGTTTGTTTGTTGTTTAATGTCGCACTCAGCAGTTTTCCCACTATATGACGGTGGTCTGTAAATAATCGAGTCTGGACCAGACAATTCAGTGATCAACAGCATGAGCATCGACGTAAAGGGGATACGATGACATGTGTCAACCAAGTCAGCGATCCTGACCACCCGATCCCGTTAGTCGCCTCTTACGACAAGCATGGGTTACTGAAGACCCATTCTAACCCGGACCTTCATGGGTTATTACCCCAATGAGGTTATGTACCCTGTGTACAGGAATACATTACGCCCATTGTACGGGACTCGCAAATATGCTTCCTGTTCAGCATACCAAATACTCAAAAGGATTGGTTGAGAGCGCATTTATGTTTTTGTCTCGTTTATCTAAAATGTCTCAATCGGTGTGTTTAGCAAGCTGCAGTGCCGACATTGTTACAGACAGCAGATTGTCTTGAAAATCCAGAGTTAACCTGAGCATACAGCTGGGATAGGCTGACATAAGCGTTTAAAATTCCCGCCTGCCCGACCGTCTGGAACGGTCTGTTTTCATCTCGGACGGTCAAATTTCATAAGTTGCCTGTCCGGTGGTCTGGTAAATGTTTTTACCCCTAACAGTAAATATTTCATAATATCAGACAGGTTCTCTTGTCGTCAGTTTGAGGTGTTTAAGGTATTATGATAATTATGTTAAACTACTTACGATTGGACAGTTCATTTTACAATAACCAATCACAACACATGTATTTTCAGTTTACCTAAACTCGGTGCATTGCCTGTTAGTGCTATGTTGTTCATTGCGATGCTTGCAAACAGTAAAGTATTCAGAAACCTGATTTTTGTTTTCATTGTTGAAAACCGGACAGGCAAGTTTGTATCCGGACTGGTAATTTTTAAGTTACCAGTCCGGCTGTCTGCCTTGTAATTTTGGGAGTTTTAAACAATGCTGACGTACGGAAGTGTGCACCGTAAGTAGGTGTTCGTTTTCAATAATACAATCATATCACTATGCCTTTATTGACAAGAATTCGGCATTGACCAACAGGCTATAAGAATCATGTATTTCATCTGTCACCGTGGTATATGGGAAATATTGTCTATTCAGATGAACCTTCGACCTTTTCTGATATGGGTATCCCATCAAGACCAACAGGCTATAAGAATCATGTATTTCATCTGTCACCGTGGTATATGGGAAATATTGTCTATTCAGATGAACCTTCGACCTTTTCTGATATGGGTATCCCATCAAGACCAACAGGCTATAAGAATCATGTATTTCATCTGTAACCGTGGTATATGGGAAATATTGTCTATTCAGATGAACCTTCGACCTTTTCTGACATGAGTATCCCATCAAGACCTACAGGCTATAAGAATCATGTACTTAAGCTGTCACCATGGAACATGGGAAATATTGTCTATTCAGATGAACCTTCGACCTTTTCTGATATGAGTATCCCATCAAATTAACTAAAGATAAAACGAAACCGGAGACTCACCATGACAACATTTGACCTTGTTTAGCCACAAGTTCACGTTTATTTGAACAACAAATTTACTTAGATCGATATGGTTCGTTACTGGTCTGAATGCAGATTAGAAAGGATCTTAATTTGGCATCTTCCTCTGTAATTGGGTAAGAATTATGTCAGTCAGCTGATTCACTGAATACATCTACGTGATAAGTAAACTTGACACGTGAGATGAATAAAACTGTATGTAATTATTTTAAATTTAATTGTAACTCGTAAAATACATGCCTGAGATAAATAATTGCGTCATTGCAGATCCCCAAACGTTTTGTTGACTTTTAAGCCCTGGAATCTCTTTACTTCTACACATCAATCATGATTCCAAATTATCAAACTAGATTTTTCGGTAATATATACTTAGCTAAATATATAATAATAATAATGGATGTGTATAAAGTACCTGCTAACGCATTATTACCCTAATAACCCGAGTTGCCAGTGAAGCACTAGAAGATTAACAGTCATATGCTTTATCCCACCGGGTACCCATTCAGTGCTGGTGAAAAGAGGAAATTCAGTCAGATGAGACCATATGTGTCACGTGTGCTTCGGTGTGGGGCAGGACTGAAATCCTAGAAACTCTCAGGGGTCAAGCTGCCAGACTGAAATCCTAGAAACTCTCATCCGCTGTGAAAGGTGTCAAGCCAAATCTCACGTCTTTGCTTCAGACACAAGCTCTTGCAACAAAACTGTCACAGGTCCATCGTTTTTCAAGGACTGTCCGAACGTTGCTAAACTTCAACTGTTTTGTGACCTGAGCTCTATGCACAGGACCACACACAACCACGATCGATCCATTGATCACTTGTTTGATTTGATCAGGGCAGAGTACTCCTGTTCGGCGTCAGGAGAAACATTCTCCCATTTTTAGACAAATTTTGAGGATGGCGGCTGATTACTCTATTCACGAACACCTGGTGTCAACACTGATTTTCAATGATCTATTCACATGATTTTCACAGTTATGATTTCCTTCACACCAAACGGAATTTGTTTCTGAGGATAGTCAAGACTGTGTATTCTTTTGTATATTAAATTACTAATAATATATATTTGAGAGGGACAATATGCAATGAAAATCTGCATTCGCCGCTTCATTTGTCAATTCCTTACGTTACTATCAAAATTTATCTAAAATGCAGACGCCCTTCAACAAATTAAACAAATGAGCATATTGTTTTTGTTTCATATACGTTTCAGTCCGTTTTCCTGCTATCTTGAAAAGCTACAAACTGTTTAAAAGAGTTACGTTCCTTGCAGGCGATAGGATGGAAAGCGTTGTGTACATAAGCAAGTTCTATCAGTAACTTACCCGACGAGGACGAGGACGAGGACGAGGACGAGGACGAAGACGAAGACGAGGACGAAAACGAGGACGAGGACGAAGATGCTGCGACTGTTGTAGTCTGAAAAAGTAAAATGAACTCCATTAATACCTACGAACGTTTCCTAATGCTATACAATACGTCGCGTATGTGTACACACACACCTATATACATATATATATATATATATATATATATATATATAAACACAAGAAATTTCATAATTATATATATATATATATTACTATTTAACAAATATATATGTTACAGTCAGATTGTGAAATCAGTCATTTCGTGAAATGACTAAAATAAATTCAGTTCTATATATATACCGCCACCATATAGCTGGAATATTGCTGAGTACAAACAACAACCAAACCAAACATATACTGTACCTGTTGTCCAACGATTTCAGTAGAGACGTTTTCCGCTTTCTGCCGACACTCCGCAAGGAGGGCGCCCCAGTTGCCGGCAGTACATCTTGCCGTATCCGTACACACACAGACGAACACGTGCGACGTGTGTGTGTTCACTGCAAGAGTCACTTGACCTTCCAAAAGAGTACCCAGACAGTAACCCAGCGACAAAAGATTGCACAAGGTAACTGTAGTCAAACTCATCGTCATGCCGGATCTAGCTTCCTAAACCCGTACCTGCAACATACTACAATGCATATGCTGCATGTTTACGTACGGTGATAGTAAATAGGTAATTGATGCCACTATTTTACGATCAACAAAAAACTGAAGCATTAAGTTTCATTTGGAGGTCGCATTATGTATACTCATTTACAAAAAAACGATGCCATCTGTCTTTGTAGACAATCAAGCGTTACTTAGAATGCACTCATTATAAAGGTCTGTTTGTATCGCCTTCAGAAGTATGGAATCATCCGTGTCAAATTAAAGCTAATTATGGATAGTACGCCTCGTTAATCTCACTGTTGATGTCGTAATATACCCTATACTCTCTCGGGTAACTATACGCAGCAGCAAAAAAAACGTCAGTACGAATTCAAAATTAGATAGGCACTGTAATCATTAATCAAATCATTACAGAAATGGACATAATAAGCGGATCAAAAGCATTTTGTGTACAATATATCAATGAATAACTCAATTCCAAGACATAACGTGAATGTTTGCAGTCCATTCAGACTCTTGACTTCAGTATCTAGTGTGACCACCACGAGCGGCAATAACTGCAGCACAGCGTCTATGCATGGAGTGCAATCGATTGATGAAGGCCACTGGAACCACACTCTGAGAAAGGCCTGGCGCAATAAATTGGCTGTGTTCGGCCTTGGTATGACATTATTCATTCTCCTCTGAATTTCATCCCAAGGATGTTCAGTTGGGTTTAAATCAAGACTAAGGGCTGGCCACTGCATAATGTTGATACCGTTCTGCTGTAGGAAGTACCGTGTAGCTCTGGCAGTATATATATATACACTGTATCAGTACTGATTGGTCTTCCGTGTGTTCCCACTGTGCTGTTTCGGATGCCTGCATGAAGGGATTCTGTACATACTGTTGCACAACATGGCGGTCTTGTCGTCTTGTGGCCACCCTTGGTCTGCCAGTACGGGAACGATCATTTGAGGTGTTTGTTGGTAGCCCGGAAACGTTGCTGCAGCCTGTAGATGGTCCGAACGTTGACCTCGAAGTGATTGGCAACGGCTTGTGCAGTATGGCCAGCTTCAAGTCTTCCTAGCGCTTGGTTCCTAGCTGTCGTAAGTCGCTGCATCCTGCTGACATTGTAATGTGAATGTTTCAACCAGGTTTGCGGGTGCATTTTATAGGGCTGGTCCTTGTGAACAGCACGTGCAGCATGAGTTGCATGAAAAACATGGAGAACACCGTACCATCTCCGAGATCACGTTGCGTTTTTGAGACCATTTCCTGGGTTCCATTCGTTTGGGAAGGAATGTCTTTGCTCAGGTCAAATTGGAGATGTTGTCAAAAAATATACAATCAAAACATTAAATGAGTTTACAGTTATCCGTTTCGGCGAAGGAAAATTCCAAACTGACGTTTCTATTGCTGCTTAGTATATATGAAGTAAGTGCTTTCCAGTTACTACTCAAAGTGAGTGAGTGAGTGAGTGAGAATGGCTTGACGCCGCTTTTAGCAATATTCCAGCAATATCACGGCGGGGTTACGATCCACAGAATGGATAGTCATAAGGTGAGTGAGTGAATTTAGTTTTACACCGCACTCAGCAATATTCCAGCTAAATGGCGACGGTCTGTAAATAATCGAGTCTGGAAAAGAAAATCCACTTATCAACAGCATGAACATCGATCTACGCAATTGGGATACGATGACATGTGTCAACCAGATCAGCGAGCCTGACCACCCGATCCCGTTAGTCGCCTCTTACGACAAGCATGGGTTACTGAAGATCAATTCTAACCCTGATCTTCACGGGTTGAATAGTCATAAGGAACTTAAAGGTGGATGTAATAATGTGTATGAAGGAAAGGAAACAAGGGTAATATGGAGCCTTTGAACGGTGATACACAATGTACAAAGATAACAATATAATCACAAAACCAAATAGGACTAATGTGCAAACATAACAACGTAATATGATGTTAGTGATTAATACAGCACAGTGGAGTGTACACTGGGAAAACAGAGGCCTTGGTCTTGGTTAATGGCTGGCTTCTTTCTTTGGATTTCGATGCTTTCTTGAAGTTTCCTCTTTTTCCAATGGTTGATGTTGGTATGTAGAATCTTGGGTTGTTGCCAGGAAATATGGTGGTCGGGCCTTTAGATGAGGCGTTCCGAAAAGGGCACATTTCATGTCAGATGTTTCAACAGAGGTCTTGCGTTCTTTTATTTTGGTGATCTCTCTCTCCTGTGTTGCCTCGTGGTGATGTATTTCTTCGCTGAGGCTGTCTGAATATATGGCTGTGAGTGAGTGCGTGAGTGCGTGAGTGCGTGAGTGCGTGAGTGCGTGCGTGCAACATTCCAGCAATATCACGGCGGGGGACACCAGAAATGGGCTTTACACATTGTATCCATCGTGGAATCGAACCTGGGTCTTCAGCGTGACGAGCAAAAGCCTTAACCACTAGGCTACGTCACCGTCCCCAAAGTACTACAAAATCATCCAAGGTAACTACAAAATCATCCAAGGTAAAAGCTCCAGAGAAAGGGCGATAGTGAAGCAAGGCTTGGTGCAATTCCTGTTTTAGGGTAGATACTTACGTGAAACACTGCACGTGGGGTTATATGTGTGCGTGCGTGTGTGTGTGTGCGTGCACGAGTGAGTGAGTGCGGGCGTGTGGGATTATTTCACAGAAAGACCAACGTCTCTATGCCCTACCACCCGACCCGACACCAAGAGGACATTCTTAAAAGGTGAAGTTGTCTCCCTTGATGTTAAGTCAAGTCACGTGATCACACGGAAGCAGACGACAAATTGTTTCAGTAGTTGTCATGGCCGAATCGTCTTTACTGTTTGTATGGTTTGTTCGTAGGTTGCATAATTCAACAGGTATTTGTTGGTAAACTATTTATGATATTCTAAAGGAATTTGGCGATGGGTAAACCCGCCTCAGGACGTAAACTATTTTTTATGTAAACAACCGACGTGGTATCGGAACAACGTGCTCTCTATTTCTGTCTCATCCGATGTGGCCATCTAAGCAAACTTCTTTCGAAGTTGAATGGAGACGGCTTCTTTCGGTGTCGCAATGGACGGTGAGTAGGACTCTACATAGCATTGGCTACTTGAATTCGGTTCCAAGAAAATGCCCACTGATGTGCAAATGGAGGAGCGGCTCGCTTGGCCAGACCAGGTAGCTCAGAACTTTGTTGGTGTCATTTTTTCGGACGAAGCTGTCATCTAGTTTTACAACATTACGTAACGACAATAATAATAATAGTCCATTTGTGATGCGCATTTCTCCATGCACAATGCATGCTCGAAGCACCCAAACAATATGTGTAACAATATTACCCCGGATTGCCCCTTGTTAGGCGCTAAAAGCTTTATAGTCACAAGACGTATCACCGGGTACCCCTTTTCTGCTGGGTGAACAGAGTCAATTTTGAACAAACTCACTTGCCTAAGGTGAGACCACATTTACCACATGTGCTTCGTTGTGGGGCAAGAATGAAATCTTAGAAACTCTCAAGCTGGAGTCAAGCTGCCAAACACGGTCACCCATCCAAGGACTCTCCGCGACCAACGTTGCTTAACTCCAAGTAATAGGTGATTCAGTGGTGGAAAGTTTGTAAAAATGATCCCGAAGTTTTCACCGAAGCTCAAAGGGTGTGGCAAAAAAGTTCACAACAACTCAGTAATACTCTCAGACTCTTCAACGGGAACTGTTGGAATCTGCTGTGAAAGTTGTGTTCCATTAATTTTGCATCAAGGCAATGCCCGTCCCTGCACGTTTTCATACATACCTGCCAAATCTCACGTCTTTGGCTTCAGACTCACCTCTTCATTACTCACGTCAAGCTCTCGCGACAAAACTGACAAACCTCACGCCAAACACACAAACAGGTCTGAATACATCGTTTTCTGTAAAAGGGAATTTGCATTTATGTGTTAGCTTCAGCGGGGCTACGCCTCCAGGAACAACCACCTGGTTCCATCCAGGAACCGGTCAGGATCTGCGGCCCTTCGATCCCGGCATTGTTTCTCACTGAGGTTGAAAGTTCTGCTGCATGCAAACCGTGGTAGATTTTCCGGCCGTTTCCCCCGACTTGAACCCAATTGTGTGGCAGCGAATGGAGGACAATGCTGAGACGTTACATCGAAGAAATATTGTGTAGAAGAGACGCAATAACTAAGACTTGGCTGAATGTACCCCAAAATACCATATACAGTTTCACTTACAGTATACAGATATTGAGAGTTTATTGAGAGAAGGGGTGCCATAACTGACTATTAACATGACGTTTCGCCATTGAGAGGTTCACAAGAAGAAGAAGAGTGAGTGAGTGTGTTTTACGCCGCACTCAGCAACATTCCAGCTATATGGCGGCGGTCTGTAAATAATCGAGTCTGGACCAGACAGTCCAGTGATCAACAGCATGGGCATCGATCTACGCAAGTGGGAACCAATGACATGTGTCAACCAAGTCAGCGAGCCTGACCACCCGATCCCGTTAGTCGCCTCTTACGACAAGCATAGTCGCCTTTTGTGGCAAGCATGGGTTGCTGAAGACCTATTCTACCCCGGATCTTCATAAGAAGTGAGTGCGTGAGTGAGTGCATGCGTGCGTGCGTGCGTATGGTTTTACGCCGCTTTTAACAATATTCCAGCAATATCACAGCGGGGGACACCAGAAATGGGCTTCACACATTGTACCCATATGGGGAATCGAACCCGGATCTTCGGCATGAGGAGCGAACGCCATAACCACTAGGCTACCCCACCGCCCCTACACGGATGAACATGTGCATACATAGGTAAGAAATATTTTTGTACACTGAGTTATAAATTGGTCCAGATAATATATTTTTACACAGTTATAGCCCTTGATCCATGTCATCTTATTCAGACCATTATGGGGGTGGTGGGGTAGCCTAGTGGTTAAAGCATTGGCTCGTCACACCGAACACCCGGGTTCGAATCCCCACATGGGTACAATGTGTGAAGCCCATTTCTTGTTTCCCCCGCCGTGATGTTGCTGGAATATTGCTAAAAG